CGCCCACCTTGGAGATGAGGCGCCGGGCCCCCGCCGACACGACAGGGGTGTCCGGAAAGCGGAGGTCCACCTTGAGGATGCGCTTGTAGGTGTCGCTGTGCCCCGCAGCCTCGAAGGGGGGGGTGCCCACCAGGAACTCGAAGGCCAGCACGCCCAGGGACCAGATGTCGACGCCGGTGTCGTGGGCGCGCCCCTCCACCATCTCGGGGGGCAAGTAGTCCAGTGTGCCGCACAGCGTCTGGCGCCGCGAGTTGGGGGCGTGCACGGACCTGGAGTCAGAAGGGCGGGGGTGGATGGAATGTGGCCGGGGCTGAGCTTCAGGTGTACAAGTGGTGCGAAGCTGCCGCCACCAGAGGCTGGGGAGTGTTGTGGCGATGCTGGACAGTTGCATCTCCCTGCTGCCTGCACACGCCATATCCTGCCATACGTCGCCAAGCAGCACCAACAACAGGGCGGCACGGTCGACGCAGACTCCGCCTGCCCCAAAACCTCAGCCCCCTCCTCCCACCCCTCCTCCATAGAATCTTCGTCCAAGCCCCCCTTCTTCGCACCAGCCAAAGTCCGCGATCTTGAGTTCGCCGTGGAGACCCAGCAGCAGGTTCTCGGGCTTGATGTCGCGGTGGATCACATGCTTGGAGTGGCAGTAGAGCAGGGCCTTGGCCAGGCTGGCAATGTACCTGCGGCAACGATGTTGGTAGGAGCGTGTGAGGGGTGGAGGATTGTCGAAATTTCCACAGCATGTTGTGCTCGGAGCTGCGCATGCATTGGGCGCCTATGCATGGCCTGGTGTGCATTGGTTCCAGCACGCACGACCGACTCCTCCCTGAGGCAACACTGGTGACCAATTGCGAAGTCATCCATCAGCCCCTGTCCTGCACCCTCACGTCGCAGTCCGGGGCTCGTCAAAGTGCCCGACCCTCTGCAGCTCCTTGTACAGCTCGCCCCTGGCAGCGTACTCCAGGATAAGGTACACGCGGGTCTGGGAGGAAGGGTGTGGGACCAGGGTGCGCCGATCTGGGTCTGACGACTAGTGATCGAGAAGGCCGTGTGGAATGGCAGCACATGGCGCCCAATTGACTCCCTGCCCATACCTCTCAAATCCACTGCAGCATGCTGCACAGCACACCCAGACCTCACCTCGTCGTAGAAGTAGCCGTAAAGCCGAAGGATGTTGGGGTGGCGCAGGTGGCTCTGGATCTCGATCTCTCGCCGCAGTTGGTGCTCCACGTTGGATGTCTGCAGCTGGTTCTTGAACAGCACCTGGTCCGGAGGGAGGGGATACGGTCATACAGGGGGTGCCATGGAGTCCTCCAAGCACTCGAGGCCCTGAGACCCAGTCACTGCAGGCACTCTCCAAGCCTCCACAGCTGTCACCCACCTTCAGGGCAACAATGTACTTGTTCTTCCGTTCCCGGGCCAGGTACACGTTTCCGAACTTCCCCCGGCCCAGGGGCTTCCCGATGTCGAAGTCTGTCAGCTGCCATCGCGCACTTGCACTGCTGCTGGTCCTCTCCGCCGTGCGACTCTCGGCAGCTGCTGTCTTGACCGGGCCCGTCGGCTGCGCAGCCTTGCCGGGAGCCGCGCTGGCTGCTGTATTTGATGCGACATTGACGCTGAGGGGCTGAAGGACTGCAGGACGCGCGCCGGACTGCTCCGTCAGGCCCTTGGCAACGGTTTTGGTGCCCAGGTGCGTGGGTCTGAAGGGCAGGCAATTCTCCTGTGATGCAGACGGAGCGGGGCTTCCTTAGGCATGGTGAGGAAGTAAGATCCCAATTTAGTAACCATGCGGGGCTCCGGCATACCTTGTCCACTTGGAGAGTAGCCATGGCTGAAAACCGTTTCCCTTGTCCGTTGCCTCGGCGGATATAAGGCCCCTCAGTTGCGCATGCTTGTATTAGAAATCACTTCGCCCGCCATACATTTGTGATGCTGGGTTGTCGTCCGCATTATGTGGCGAGTGACAGCTCCATTTCCCCTTGTCGGGGAATTTGCGCGTCAGGTCCCCTCTGACGGGGACGAAGCAAGGGCCCAGAGCTCAGCATGAGGCAGCGCGAGCCCCTCACCACCCTACTTCGTACCAATTCGATTAGCACTGGAAAATGATGGATCTCTGTATTTTTGGTATAGATCACGCAGCCTAAACACATCTGGTGAGCACTAGCAAACAGCATGTTCTTGTCCACGACAGGTACCAGCCTCTGAGCCTGGACTGAGGCCCTGTGTTTCCCCGGAGGCCTCGACGATAAGTTACCCGGGTCCAGAATGCATCTTTGATAGGCACTACAGCCAGGACATGCTGCTACCCGATGAGCTTTGACGATTTGTCACCCAGACAAGTTTGAGGGTTGGCCAGATCTCGGTGGCGACCAATTGAACGTCCACTTGATGAGTGCCATCACCCTAAGATAGTCTTTACTTGGCGGTGTGAGTCAAGGAAGAACCTTTAAACCGTGCCATCTCATGTGTAATATTGGGCACGGCCCCTTCCCCGAGCCTTTTCCGAGCTGTGCACACAAAGATTTTCAGCAGGAGCAGAGGTGAGAATTCATAGCATGTCAAATCAAATTCTCCCGAGAACGATATTTCTTGTGTGTCCCTCCAAAGTTCGCGCGCGTGCATGGGTGGGGGGGGAGGCCCAGGGGCCGTCCCTCACCCGGGACAAACGGACGTTGCCCACTCTCTCCAACGCCGCGGAAGCCAACAGTTGGGGAGCAAATCTGTGCTATATGTTGTGCTCCCGTCTGTTTTGACCCGGCGTCACCCTTCGTTACCCCTCTCAGACGGGGGCTCGGACCCCGGTCCTCCTGCACAATTCCCTGAGAGCCCTCTCCAGGGCCAAAACTGGGCCTGCCCTGGGCCCGGGGACACAGGACTACGAACCCCGGAAGGAGCTGTCGCGTCCCACTCCAGCGCCATGGACGGCCACCACGATCATGGAGGGGACCCTTCGACACTTTCCCCGGCAGAGGTTCCCGATGCGCTGGCAAACATCGGTCAGGTGGCCCAGGCCATCATCCACTCCGCCCTGGTGGATGGGACTGAGCCAGGCATGGAGCACGGCCTGCCAGACCGGCTGCATGGCCTGGTGGGCCCTGCAGGCCTGTCACACGCGACACACAGTGACACAGAGTCTGATGGGGAGCTGGAGGAGATGACGGAGGCCGGCATGGACCCTGGTGAGCGTGAGGAACAGGGGAAGGGCCATGCGCCTGCCGCCAGGGAGGGACGATAAGCACTGCTGTTGCACCCTTCCCTGCCGGCCCAGGCTCCTGCCAGGGGGGCGCTCTGCTACGCGTGGGATTGTCTGCTGGGTCGAGAGCCGGCGCACCTGGACCACCTGATGCGATCCTCCGCTTGCCATCTCCCTGCCATGAGCGTAATCCCCGCTCCCTGCTCACTTTTACTCCCTTCCCGCCCACCTCCCGTGCCCCACAGCCGACTACCGCATGACCACTGCCACGGTGGACTCCCAGGCCAAGAAATCCGACGAGGCCTGGACCCCCCAGGAGGAGGACGAGCTGGTGAAGCTGGTGGGGCAGGAGGACTACCGCCGCTCTCGGCTGGGCGACACCACCACCAAGTGGGCCCCCATCGCGCGCCACTTCTCGCGCACCGTCAAGGCCGTGAAGCGCAAGTACGACAAGCTCCAGAACCCGGACAAGGGTGAGCGGTGCTGCTCGGTGCGGTGTTGTATGGGGGGGGGGCGCGGGCGGAGGCGGGGCGCAGTTTATCCTCGGGGTGGGGATTGGAGCCTACAGGAGGGGGGCTGGCAAGGCGCCCCTGGTTCCTTTGATGCGCCCCCCTCGGGCCAGGTGAAACTCACGGCGGACAGCACGGCGTTGTTACCCCATGCAGCCTCCTGGGCCTGCCTGCAGGACCTGGCTCCCATGCCTGGCCCCGGTTCTTGGATGAGCCACCCTGCCAAAGCTCCATCCCCCCCCCCTCCTCCCTCCCCCCCCTTGGACACCCACCACAGAGCAACGCAAGAACAAGGCCCTGCCCCCGCGCCCCGCCGGCGCGGTGTTCAGCATGCCCCACGGCTACATGTCCATGGTCTCGCACCTGCACCCATCTGCCAGCGAGCAGCTGGCGGGCATGTACGGCGGCGACCCCGGCTCGATGGGCCTGCCGTACTACGGCGCGGCGCCGCACGGCCTGACACCCGAGGCCGCCGGCGCGCTGCAGCACGGCCTGACGCCGGAGCAGTACTCCTACCTGTCCGGCGGCGCCGGCTTCCCCGGCCAGGCCATGGGCTACGCCGGCCTGTACGAGGCGGGGGACGGCGGCGCAGGGGCCATGCACCTTCCCCCCAACTTCACCGACGTGCTCATGAGCTCGCTGCAGTACGGCGTCCCCGGCACGCACCCGGGCGCCGGCGGCGACTTCGCCGCGGGCCTGGGCGCGGGGGGCGCGCTGGGGCCGGGCGGCGCCATGCCCCATCACGACCGCCGCTTCTGGAACGAGGCCGACCAGCAGGAGCTGCTGCGCCTGGCCTCCGACGCCACCTACCGCCAGACCCTGCTGGGTGAGCGGGGGGGGGGGGGGGGGGGGGGGGGGGG